AAGAATATAAACGTACGTAAGCGAGAGAATTGTCCAATTCGCCGAATCATCAGAATCTATCTTCTCTGGTGAAATCTCTGATGCAAATGCAATAATTTAAAAATTTAGAAATATCACGATAGCATCAAATCGTGATCGTATCATATTCCTCGTTCTTTTAATACTTTTCAAACTCGAGCACAAAATTGCTCGAGAATCATGAATCAAACCCTAATATCCATCACTACATGCTCCACACAAGGTGGAAAGAGGCGAGATTGGACTGTCTACTTCTCGACGAGTAGTAGAACTCGTTCTCTCTCTCTGACTCTCGATTCCTCCTGACTAGAACCAACATCTGATACCGAGAAACACGAGAAGAAGAAGAGGGAAAAATTCGAGTTGGAGAAGGATATGGCAAAGCGGGATGAATAAGTTTCGATTTGTGAAACAATAATCGATCCACCCTCTCTCCTCTCTTTCTCTCCTCTCCTTCCCCTGTCTCCCTCGCTTTTTTCCTCGCCGGCCACCGACTCTACCCTCTCATCGCGTACGTAGACGTACGGCAATCGTAAATCAACTCTCGAAATTGTTTTCGAGTGGCGTGCGCTACGTCCGCTTCGGTAAACCGGGATGTCTAGAAATTCGAGTAACGGCGTGGACGAACGATAACACACAGGATCCCTGTGTGATAACTTTTCATCGAACGAGAGGGTGAGGGAGAGAATGGGAGGGGATCCCCCGATACGCGAGATACGATCCCGCTTGTTTGAATAGATTTCACGCGGATAAAAGAAGTTTGCGGCTGGGATACGGATTTTCTTCCGCAAATCGAGTATAAAATGCCGAGCCCGTACAATTTTTTGACGCAACGAAATTGTCGAAGTTGAATCGAGATCGAACGAGTCTTTTCTTTTTTCTTTTCTTATTATTATTAGAAGTACCGCGTTATTATTATTATTTACATTGTTTATGTATTTGTTTAGAGAAATTTAAAGTAAAAAATCATTTTTTCCAGGGAAAAAAGAAATAAAATTCATCTCGATCGATGTTTGATTTCAAGGTACTGGACGACGACGGGAAACGGTCAAACGGTGACCGAGGTTCCACGAGACAACAAGGCAGCGATCATGGACAGCATCGCCTCGTCGTACGCGTTGCAGAGGCCGAGATTCGCGGCGACAACCCCTCCGAAGATGGCGAAATTGGAGGGTAAAAGCGGTGGGTGGCCTTATTACCAGAAGTACAAGCAGGCGGAGGCACAAAAGGCGCAAATCTTCGAGGACATCCAAAGGAAAATGGCGAACGCGACGAGCGGGAACAGCATAGGCGTCCATTCGTGGAATTCGACCGACATCGCGGCCCAACGCCAGCACAGGCTCAGGATGAAACATCATCGGCTGACGTCCAAGGGGAAGCGGTTGAGGACGCGTAAGTGGGGAAACCTTTGTGACCCGTGTATATCTCGGCTTTTTATCGCCCTGGAACCCATTCTTCCGATCGTTGAAAAGCGCGGTGACATTGTTCGCGCGGACAATGAAGGACCAACAGTTGATGCGATCTTTTCATTCATGGAAATTAATGGTGAAACAGAACAGCACGGAGATATTTTCCACGCAAATGATCAAAGGATGTCCTCTTCTTGCCTCTCCGACTTGTTTCCCCCATTCAGAGGAACCGGCTTTTGTTAGCTCGGGACCGCGTCGATTATCCTTTTTATTCCTCGTTTCGTTTCGTTCCCTTCCCTTTGGATAAACATTGTATGTCGCTCAATTTCGTTTTTTGTTTTTTTTTTTTTTTTGTCTTTTACCTTCGTCACGATCATTCGGCCGTTTCAAAGATTGACTTCTACTTTTAAGTAGAAATCGTAAAGTTTATCGTCTAAAGAAATCAATTTTTCCGTAAGTAGTTTCGCAATAAATTCAAATCCACTTGAGAAAATTGAATAATAAATGAAATAGTTTCAATAAGATGAAATCAAGATGAAATAAGTTGAAAAAATATTAACTCGAATGTACAATCCATTATTAATCTCGATCAAAATTCCAAAAATTCCAAAAAAACTTTGTCCAAGTTCGGCTTTGAAAAAATTGAATAATAAATAAAATAGGAAATAAAATAGTTCTTCAATAAGTGGGATCTAAAAATATAATCTATCAAAATCATAAAAAATATAAATTATCAAAATCACCCGAATGAAAATTTCATAAAAATATTAACTCGAATGTACAGCCCATTATTCATTTCGATCAAAATTCCAAAAATTCCAAAAATGCCAAAAAAACTTTGTCCAATTTCGACTCATAAAAATATTAACTCGAATTCAACATTATTCATCTCGGGCGAAATTACAAAAGTTTCTCAAAAAGATTTCGACGAAAATCGATAACGTGTGTGGCATGTTGGTTTCCAGGTCCGCCGAGGGACTGCAAGGTGGGAGAATGGGGCCCGTGGAGCGCGTGCAGTCGTAGCTGCGGGGTAGGTGAGACACAGAGGACGCGGAAGATCACGATAAAACCGC